TGGTAGGGGCAACTAGCAAAACTGATCAAAATTTAATATGAATGTCTCACCCTAAATTTCAATTCTAGCAACTTACCCTATTGCACATGTACACAAAGATGTATACTGGAAGGTAGTCAGCTGCTAGACTGTAGCTGTGTAAGATGGAAATAATTTAAATAACTATGTACAAAAGGACCAAGTAAATAAATTATCGAATTTGTAATCACTACAAAGAACAAGGGCAGGCAGGTAGCAACATGGAACAATCTCCATATTAGTTAAAAAGAAAAAAAAAAGCAAGGGTGAGCAGGGGAGACACACACACAACACATACACTTACTTTACACTGTTGTGTACCCTTCTGGTCTGTCTGAATTTTTACTATTCACGTGAGAAATATTCATTCAGTACCTACTATGTGCCAGACATTGTTGAAGTGGCTCTTGGGATACAACAAAATAAAGAATTCTTTCCAACGGTTTACTTCTTGAAAAGATAAACTTAAATTTTAAGTAAACTGTAATTGTAGTTGTGAGATACCAATTACAAAATGATAATAGTAAATTAAGAAGTAAAATTGATACAGAACTAAAAACCAGCCAATTATACTTGAATTACTTTAGTTAATCAGTGGTAACAAAACTCCAAAATCACTCTGAATCAAGGATTTGCTTTGGAAAGACACCAGGGGATGGAGTGGACAAACAATCCTACAAGATATGAAGAGTAGATTCTTTTTGGCCTTTTAGTAGCATTTAAGCTCAAGTGTGTACAATAAACCTGATAATACCCTAAATTTGTCACTAAGAAATAGTACTAATTTCTCTCTTACTACTAAGATTTGTGATCTGTGCCCTCTGAAAGAAGGAAATGATTGTAGACAAGCGAAATCACTGCTAAGGTTTACTGCTGTAATTTCTTTTTACTCCTGTAAGGAAGTTTAATTTTGCATTTGGAGAGCTATTTAAATTACCTTACAGTATTCATTGATATCCTTCTGCAGCTCAAAACCCACTCGCTGAAAATTAATCTACCAAATTAGATAGCATATACCATATAATCTGTAAAAGAACAGAGAAACTCAGAAGAATCCAATATTAGACCAAGCATAATCACAAGACATATAGATGCCTCCTTACTCAATAAAACAAGCCATCCCTTTAGTGATTCTCAACCTTAGCAGTGTATCAGAATCCTGTAAGGGAAGGAAGAGTTTTAAAAACTCTCCAGGTGGTTTTAATGTGCAACATCCCTCGTTGAAAACCATGGCTCTCTAGTTCCCAACTCCTTTTCTGGTGCCACAGAAACTTTCTGCAGTCTAATGAAGCCTAGGGGCTCCTTCTCAGAATGTTCTTAAATACACAAAATAAGTTCTGCAGGATTTCAAAGGAAATCAGTTATATCGAAATATAATTTTCAAAATATTTTTAAAACAAAGTTTTGTTTTGCTTCTTTTTTAAAGAGAGCGTTTCACTATGTTGCTAGCCCCAAACTCCTGGTCTTAAGCAATCCTCCTGCCTCAGCCTGGGATTACAGGTGCTTGCCATCAGGTGGGGCTCCAAAGTTTTATTAATATATAGTAATATATACTGAACACATCAAATAACAAGCTCTAGTGACCAGTCCAGTGATGAGTGCAAACAATATTTTGAATATTTACGTCAAAGTCATAGTTATGGCCATATTTAATTCCCACAATAAGGCCTGGTGTGGTGGCTCA